ATGGGCATTGGTGGAAGTCCCTCTCCTGAAAAAGAAAAGAAAAGAGAAAGGAAAGAAAAAGACTAGAAGCATTCATCTATTATGTTGGAGACCACTTAGGGAAAACGGGCTGGAAAGATGACTCAGAGGTTAAGAGCACTGACTGCTCTTGCAGAGGACCTAGATTCAGTTCCTAGCACATACATGGTGGTTACCAACCATCTGTAACACCAGTTCCAGGGGATCCAACGTTCTCTTCTGGTTCCTGTGGGCATTGCATCACACAGATGCACTTAAACACATGTAGGCAAGACACTCACACACAGAAAATAAAAATAAATAAATTGAAATAGAGAAAACTGATAGGGAGCATTTGCAAAGGATATTAAAAAGATTGATATTCGTGCAGACACCTAAAAGACACACACTGTTGTTTCATGAAGTAGACCCACGCAATCCCTTTATACTTGTATTCAGGTAGCTTTTAAAATGATTTTCTATTCTGCTTTATTCATGAAAATAAGTCTTTAAAGTTGCCAGGGGAAAGAGCCCTTCACAGATACTGGGTTTGAAGCAAGAGAAGTTGAGGTGACTTAGCAGCTACACTAGGAAGAGTGCTAGGCACAGCCAGGGGCTGAAATCTCCCCCAACCTGAAAAGTTTCTTAACTGTGCATCAAAGAGAATCTGGAAGTTGCCTGTGAGCTTACATCTGGTCCCAGCAGAAGCACCTCATCAGCATTCCATGCCAGACCTCAGGAAGCTAGGGAAAGAATCTCACAAGGATAGAAATATGTGAATTTATTTCCTTCAAGCCTAATCTGATGACTTCAATCAGTATATCCTAATGTCTCTCTGGTGTTCTAAGCATCTTACTTCTTTTTAAGAATACTTCTGCAGGGAATGAACCTAAGAAACTTCTCATCTGATTACACCTATCTGCCACAAAATAGCAGTTGCTTTCTGAACACAACACAATGATCAGAAATTCTAATAAGAAATTTATAAAAGCTTTGGAATGGCAGTTAAAGTATTTCTTTTCTTAGATTTTACAGCAAACTAGTGGAAAATCTGATCAGAATTTAATGTCCTTCAGAGGCATAGGAAAATATCCATAGAATGGAGCTATTTATAAGATCATAAGTATAAAAATATTTTAGACAACCAAGGTTAAGAGTGATTTTCCAAAAATGATTAAAATCAGGTGGGGCATGATCATAAACTCTTCTGATTTCAGCATTCAGAAGAAGAGTTAGGAAAACAGCTCTAAGTTTTGAGGCCAGCCTGGTTTACCTAGCATGTCCTAGACCAGCTGGGGCTATTTACTGAAACCTTGTCTCAAAAAAAAAAAAAATGAAAGAAAAGAAAGAAAGATGAAAGAAAGAAAGAAAGAAAGAAAGAAAGAAAGAAAGACATGGCTACAGACACTTGGACAGAAATCCCTCAAGAAAAAGTATATACCAAAAATGAACATGTTTAGGATTTTCATTTGATTCATTATTGAGGATGCTATAAATAATAAATAATTCAAGCATGCCAATTAAAGTTTTGGATGACTAGACTCAAAGGGCAAATGTGAAGACAAGATCACTTTTTCCAAGGTGGCTGGGAAGTCAAGAAACCTCTGTGGGCCGTATGTGCATGTACACAGACAAAAAACTTTGTTCTACAGAAACCCCTCCCCAAACTTCCACAGGTATACCTTTTAAGGTCTTCCATATAGAGAGTACTGAACATTGTATGCAATATGTGTTTTCCTATATGCATGCCTATGATGATATTTGACTTACAAATTAGGCACAGTAAGAGATGAGCAACTGTAATCAATAAAACAGAACAGTTTTAACAATATGCTGTAATAAAAAAGTGAATGTGGTCTCTTAAAAAAAACAGAATTTTCCAGACGGGTGTGGTGGCGCACGCCTGTAGTCCCAGCACTTGGGAGGCAGAGACAGGTGTATCTCTGTGAGTTCAAGGCCAGCCTGGTCTACATAGTGAATTCCAGGCCAGCTGGGGCTACAGAGAGACCCTGCTTCAAAAAGACAAATGTTTTCAGACCATAGTTGATCATTAGTAGTTAAAGCCACAGTAAGTAAAACTACAGATTAAAGTGGAAAATTAGTGTACTGCTCAATTAGTTATCCACAACTCAGAGTTGTAAAACAGCTCCCTGCAGTCAGAATTAGAGACACAAAATGGTGTGATAGACGATGATACACAGTATTTTATAGAAGCACGAATTGTGCCCCATACAGATCACTGATTATCTTATTTACTTATTCCTCAAACCTAGTAAGTGGTAGATGCTCCATAAATACTTGCTCAATGGATGAATATCTGCTGTGTGTCAGCACTAAGTTTGGCCCTTCACATGTATCATCCCACTTAATCTTCTTAAGGACCCTTTAAGATAAACATTACTCTCATTTTTACTGACAGGAACTAGCTTGCGTGACATTACACAGCTACTATGCTGTAAAGGTTGGGGTGAAGGAGAGCAGGTAGGTTTGGACTAAGGAAACCCATTTATTACTCCATAGCCCTCCCTTTTTCTGTGCCACTGGACCGTCTGCCTCTAAATCATGGTGCGTTTATCAGTTAGACTTAATATATAATACACTTACTCAATGAGCACAGAACTGGATCTTCTTGTTTTAAGAAAAATAAATGAACAGTGGCACCCAGCAGACATGTGAATAATCTTGTTTGTAGCCTAGCAGATGAGCATAGGGAATTGACTAGCCCAGATTCTCATTTCTCCTTAGGTCTTCTTTTCCCAATTTTCAGAATAACCACTGGATGAATTAACACTGTTTATGTGTGTGGTCTGTTTTCACAGAAATCTGGGTAAAACATAGGAAAACTGTATCAGTTCACATTTATTGTCTGTTTCCTGTGACACGTCTCTCTTCTTAGCAGCACCATGAAGTAGGTATTAGAATCATCTTCATTGTCCAAGAGAAGCAAGTGCACGGACCAATCTTCATAAAGACCACAGGGCAATGTTGCATTTCTGGGCTTCAGTCTACCTTGCCAATTGCTCCCCATTATCTCCCTAAGTCATTCCCCTGTGCACAGGCTCCTGCGGTTTGTCCTATGATTACTTTTTTTTCTTTTTTTTTGAGACAGGGTCTCATATAGACCTAGGGTGGCCTTTAACTTACTATATAGTTGAGGATAATCTTGAACATCTTATGTTCTTGCTTCAGCCTCCTAAGAATAGAGATAGCAAGTGTATGACACCACACATAGTTTATATGGTGATGGGGATCAAACCCAGGGCTTTCTGTATGCTGGGCAGTTACTCTACCAACTGAGCTACAATCTCAGCTCCATCTTTGTTTTTTGTGAACCTCATTCCCCTAATTAACATTGTAGTCTCCAAAGCTATGGCGATTCCCACAGCTTCTGGCACCATATGACTAGTTACTGCAGACTGGTTCAAATCCTGGAAGCTGTTTTCTGCACACTTGAGAACTGGGATGTTTTGGGTGCTATACATTCATTCTAAGAGAGACAGAAGTAAACAGCAGCATTGTGAGGCTTCCAACAGAGGAATGCCAGAAAGGCGGTAATCAAAATCACTTTCTCTATTCTCTAAGTCCCCTGCTTCCTTTACCTGCTAGAAACAAGCTGATCTTAGAATAAAGTTAGGGATTTTTTTAAAAAAAAAATCCAGATAAGACTTAACTTAAATAAGAGTACAGTGCTATAGGTATGAGGGGTCTACACATGGTTAGCCTACTGGTTTATATATTAATATTTAATTTACTTTCACAACAACTCTCTGACTCTTAATACTATCTTTACTCTGGAAATGAGGAAGTAAACTTGAATAATTTGACAATGCGAGCACTTTGCCCAAGAGCCCAAGACCTCTGTGATGGTTTAGGAATACCACAGGTACTTTGTAGAGACTGAAAATGCCATCTAAAACAGTTTACAACTTTATAGCACAGACTGAATTCCCACATTCCCTTCCTCACGTCACTTAGCAGAGCACTTTGGGATGTGATACCTCTTCCTCTTTCAGGACGAAAGACTTTCATTCTCAGGGGCTCTGTTCACCTACCTCATATAAGCCATTATGAAACTTATCTGCATACCCTTAATAAATAATAAATAATAACACTCCCAGAAGCCCATAGTGTGGAACTCTCAGTCCCTCTTTCACTACATAGCTGTGAAGGAGGGGGAGGAAAGGGAGCTGTCCACATGCAGGTGGAATCTCAGCACAGGTGAGGTCTGGAAATGTCCCTCCTTAATCTAGAGGCTGACATGGAGGGTAGATATGAGGCTGAGCATATTTTCTCCATCCCACCCTTCTGAGAGGTGTGGCAGAAAGCACTTAGCATTGCATACGTTTTTCTGTTTTTCTGTTTCCAAGTACTAATTTTTCCCTCTGTATGGAACACTTCAGTATCGTTGATCTAAATGGAATCTTACTTTGCGACTTAAAGGTGTTCATCTCAGGCACAGTAACTAGTGCTATACTTCACTTCAGAAACCCAGAACACCACTGTGTGGGAATAAAGGAGAGTGGTACCCAAGGAACTGGATGATGGATGGCAGGGAAAGTGACTTAGTACTCCTAACTCTTCTACATCATTGGATGTGCATGGATAGCTTACCTATCAGTAAAACTAATAAGCTTGGTTTAATGTGCAAAGAAAAAAGGCAAGATTTTCCTATGTAGAAACCCTCCTCCCTCAGAAAATCCCAATATTGATTCTATAATCAAGAGGACTTAAAATGTTTTCTCTTTTGTTTTCTCCAGGATCTCCCCAGCCCTGCTCCTGAATACACTTTAATACTGCATACTCGAAATCTAGTTTCCTCTACTAAACTACTTATGTTTTTTCAGTATTGTGGCTCATGTGGGTCTGGAGTATATTGCTTGCTTTAGAGCAAACCCATGCCAGGAAATTTCATCAGCTGTTTCACTTTGTGGGTACTGAAAAGGCCACAGTGATGGGGGGCGGGAAAGGCAGTAAGAAAGAGTCTTAGATACTGCATACTTTACCAGTTATATCATGTTGTCTGAATGAGTCACTGTAGATCTGATACTGATTTGGACAATGTTTCTTCAACCACTTGCAGACATCCTGCTGGGTCCACAGAGCTACTGGTTTTGACAGCTTCACTGCTGCTGACTGCAAAGAAAGAAGGAAAGGAAGGTCTGTTAATACTGGCTCCATGCCTGGGAAGGCACTAATGTTCAAAGTCCTAGAGTATTTGGTAAAAGCTACAGTCTGGATTCCCTGAAGATAAATATCTGCTCTTGTTCTCCTTCTAACCGCTGCAAACCTCAATATTGCTAAAGCCACTAAGAAAAAATTCAAGAGGAAAAGGCCATGAAAATTATACTCATTGAGAAAAGCCCCTGGAAGGTAGCGTTTTCTACTAAATACTATAGCAACAACATAATGGGGTTGCTAAGCAAGTAATTAAATTTTAGGGGTAAAATAGCTGTCTGTAAGTACCCTTCTCTGTGTTGCTGGAAGGTGTCCACCTCTCCTTCCTGACATCCCTGGTGCCTAGTATAACACTTGCCCCAGCTGGTATGAATAATTACTTTAGGACTGAATGTTACAGGACTTAGATACCTGCATACTAAAAAGTGCAAGTCTGCCTGGGGGTTCTGGACTGAGGGTGTTCCCGTGAAGCCTTCGAACATTAGTTATTCCACAGTGGGGAAGCAAAAAGCCAATTCCACCAGCATGTGGGGAATGGTAATAAGATAATGGGACTCATTAGGCTTTATATAGAAGTCAACTAGTCAAGGCCTTTTACTGCTCACTGGATCTTTCAGAGAACTGATCAAAAGTCAGAGGGGAATAAAACAAAATAAAAAATCAGGATGCAAAGAGCCTAGTCTTTGATAAATGGTAACTTGCAAACACATTTATTAATAAGCCTTGGCTCTGTGGTCTCCCTCATGGACCCTAGAAATTTGGTCTAGGATAGATGAAAGTTCTTATGTCAGTATTTTTTTTTAATCATTCTGGACCAGTGATTGCCAAAAAAGGACTGAAATATCGATAATTTTTAAGAAGGCCTTTAGTGGCATGAAGATCAGGAATTAAATATCACTGCTCTTCTCATGAGGCATTATTTTCTTCCACTTCTCTTTCAAACTGTCAGAGTAAAGCAAGGGGAATGACCTAAATTGGTAGGAGTGTGAATTACCATCTTCCGGACACTTGCTCACATTATATTTAATTCTACAAAGAAAGATTTGCTTCAGTTTTATAACCTCCAACAGAAAGCAGTAAATCTACCATGTAATTACTCTTCTGTTTACTTTTATTAAATTTAAGTTAACCTTCACTTACAGCAATAAATTTTGGCCTAAAAATTGTATTTTCTGTGGTAATTTCTACTTTGCTTTTAAACAAATTTTAAACAAAAAGTAAACAAAATCAACATCCCAATTTCAATAAAAAAATTAAGAATGGGACAGATGGCGAGAAGTTCATAAAGAAACAGTAGGAGGGGAAGGAAGACGTACATGATTCAATTTGGGAAAGCACAGTATTCAGGTGGTATTTTTTTTTAATTTTAAAAATTATTTAATAACAACATACTTAGAAGAAGCATATCATTACAA